CCTCCCTGGTGCTTTCACTCTGTAATACGCTACGTCACTATTTTTCGTGTTTCCTTCATTTTGCTTTTCTGTGTTGCAGTCTCTTCCCATAATTAACATAGCTAAAAAGAAAAAGTAACCTTAAAAGTTGTTTTTAAAAAAATAGAGCCTGTTAGACTTTTGAGCTGGATTTAAATCCCAGTTCTGTTATTTAAATTGACTTGTGGCCTTGATAAAATTCTGAGTCTGTTTCAACAGTAAAATGGTGATAATACCTACACATAGAATTATCCTGAGTATTAGGGATATGAAATACTATCCTCATAAAATAACACTGAGAATCATTAACATCTTGCTATTACTGGTTCGTGTACATATGAAAATATCAGGACTTTTTTGTATTTTGAATTTGGTGAACAGTTCAGGAGTATAGAGTTGTATGGGGTGGAGGTTATATACTGGAAGGGTTGTATACATGCATAACGTTTTTGGCTTATAAATTGTTAAGGGTGTTTGTTACACATCAAAATGAAAGAAATCTCGAAGAGAAGATATCTTGTTTAAGAGAAGGTATCTTGTTTGGTGTTACACACCAAAATGAAAGAAATCTCGAAGAGAAAGTATCTTGTTCCAGGTGTAATGGAAGTGGCTAGTGGTCCTTACATTGTACACGTGGTAGTAGTGCTCTTTGATTTGTGATCAGTCATTTTCTACAAGGCATGCCATTTTGGGGCTTTTCAATTCAGTCTGTCTTTGAAACCTTTATCAAAATATGCCACCCCATTTCCGGTATCTTCATACCAGGTTGATCTATCTGAAGGTTTCATTTTCCTTTCCTGGTTCCATCTTGGTAAGTCAACAGTTTATAGTCTATTTCCTGTCTTTTATTATTATTATTATTAAAATCTTGGCACTTTCAGCAAATTCCATGTGACCTGGGTGCCTAGAGAGGTGGCAAAACATTGAAATTCATTTTGGATTCCCCCATGTGAAATCCCCCGCTCTGCTTGTGTTTCTAGTCCCTTCTTTCTAATCCTGATTCCTGTCTTACGAATAGGTTATTAAAAATCCAAAAGCTAGCAAATGTTCTTCCCCAGCATGGTGTTGGGCCTGCTGGAGAAGTCCCAGATGTTTGTCCTCAAGGAGTATATAAATTAGTGGGGTTTAGACAACACTAGGCCTTCTGCAAGGTTTTCCTTTGACACACCTAGGCCCACTCTCCAGTGTCCGTGATCGCTTGATGAGTCCTTAAAACCAAACTTGTTTATCTGACCTCTTTAGATGAGAGGTTTTTTTTCCCACCAAAGATTGTCTTAATTGAAGAATGGAATTAAAAATGCACGTGTACGTGCACGCACACATACACACCTCATATGTGTACACTTAAAAACTAACCAAACACGTGGCAGCTGTTATGAGATTGCTTGTAAACCAGCAGGTACTCTGGTGTTATTTGCAAAGCTTTGTCCTCCATAACTGCTTGTCCTTAGAAACCTGCCTGTCTGGAAGGAGGGCCTCTGAGTATTGTTTTCTGCAAAGAAATAGCTTCCAATACTTCTACAAACCTTTTGGCAGGAGCATAGAATCAGTAATCCAGGGATTAAGACCCAGCATTGTGGTTTGTGGATTGGTGAGTTGTAGCTAGACTTAGGACCAAGAACAATAAGTTGGGTAGTGCATCATTAGAGATTTATTTTTCCAATAGACTGTGCGATTGAGAGTTATGTCATAATAAGGAGGCAATTTCTGCTTCCTAAGATACTGTATTGAAGTGTTTGTCCTTGGATAGCCTTAGTTTTTCCTTCATCTTCTTCAGTTACATATTGAATTAATACCAATTACAATCAAATCACTGCTGTGGATCTCTTTTATGCTCGTGTTATTTTATTTTTATTTTTAAAATTATTTATTTTTTAGAATTCGGTAACACATGTATTGTATGATAAGTTGTACAGTGAAAAGTAACTCTTCCTTTTTACTCCTGTACCCCGGCCACCTGATCCTTTCAGCTGCCCCTTTTGGTGGCTTTCCCAATGAACACTTTCCTGTATTTAAGTCTTTATATGATTCCCTCTTGTATTGACTGAGCTTGTCCATGTGACTGGCTTTGGCCAATGGTGAACTAGCTAGTAAGTGTGATGCAGGGACAGGCTTGATAAAGTACTTGCACATTGGGACCAATGCTCTGGGAATGCTCACTATTATGATACTTCCTCTTAGAACACAGAAACTACCCATTGTGAGGTACCCAACCTAGCCCATGGAGAAGCTATATGGGAGAGATCTGGGGTCCCTGCCAATAGCTTCCAGCCTTGTCAACTTGCCAGCCATGTGATAAATGAGCTTTCATGGAAGTGGAACCTCCAGCCCCATTCAGGCCATTCCAGATGATGCTATGTGGGGCAGAGAGGAGCTTTCCCTGCCAAGACCTGTCCAAATTGAAAAACTGTGAGCATTAGCTACTAAATTATATGGTTTGTCATATAGCAACAGATAACTGAAACACTATATATTTTGAGTCTTGCTTTTTTCACTGAATGATATATTAGATATCACTTTATTTCAGTATTTACAGAGTTGCCTCATTCTTTTTTAAGAACTGGATAGTATTCCATTGTATGGCTGCGCAATAATTTATTTAATTATCCTTTTATTGTTGTATATTTATGTTGTTTCCAGTCCTTTATTGCATGCTTGCTTCCTTTTGCACACGAACATATACATTATTGGCTAAGTTCTTAGATATAGAGTTGCTGGGTCAAAGAGTACATGAATTTGTAATTTTAATAGGTATTGCCAAGTTGCCCTCCAGAGAAGTAATATTCCCACCAGCTCTGGGGATCTAGTTGATGGATGCCAATCTGAATGGTGAAAATTGAGTCACAGTGCAATTGGAATGTTATTACATTTCTCCTTTAATATTTTTTTCCCCATATCGAAAAGCCATTTGCATTTTCTTTTTGATGAACTCCGTTTTTTTTTTTTTTTTCTGTTGGATTGTTGGCCTTTTTCTTCTTCAAAGGAGCTTTTTATATATTAAAGAAATTAGCTCTTAGTTTGCTTAATGTGAAGCAAATCTTTTTTTCTCCTCAGTTTCTTATTTATTTGCCTTGATTTGAGCAACTTTTTCTTAATTATGATTAATTTTGATAGCTGTCTTTTATAACTGCTGGATTTTCTTATTTTCATTTTGTCATATTTAGTCTTTTCTCAGTCCTTGATTATAATAGATATTGACCTATGTTTTCTTCTAGTATTTTTATTATTTTGCTTTTTGTATCTCTTTCCTAAATCTATCTAAAAAGCCTTTTGGTGTAGAGGTTACACATTTATGTTTTTCCAGATAGATTTGTGAGGTGGCTAACCTGTGGTCCATTAATATTGTTATGCCATATCTTTCTTATATATTACATTTCATACCATAGATAATTTCAGTTTATTTATTGAATTCATCAAACTCTTTTGAATAGCTATCCCATAAATTACTTAATTATTCCCTTTTTTCTATACTATCTCAGGAAATGCTATAGTGCATATTTTTAAAAATCTTTATCATTATTAACCTCAGACTAGTTTATGATTTCCTTTGTGGATATACAACTAAATATTTCTGGTCTGTTTTAAAAGTTATTTAAACTTTCATCTTGTTAAGCTACTCAAAAGCCAGAGTTGGAAAGGTAAGCATTTTATGCATGGGAATATGAAGGTCAATCCATGTAATTTAGATTCATCTGAAGGTAAATTAGGATTGTTTAGGCATAGTGAGTGACATGCTTTTTTATCATGTACCATATGTAAAGGCTTATTCCTAAATTTCTAAAACATGTTATAGTCCCGTTATAAAAACTATATCTAATTAAGGGAGTGCTAAGGTTGGGACCCTATGAAAAGAAAATTGTGTCATGTTAATAGAATGGCTGAGGCCACATCATTGTGAAAAGAAATCAGGAAATTACACTTTTACTGTGGTTCATTAAGAAAATGGATTCATTTAATTTGGTGACACACTTGTAATTTTATGTAACGACTGTAGCTGTCCTGAACACTCAGGAAGGCAGTGACACTCAGCAGAGGCAAAACTGAGCAGTTCCTTGTTAAACTTAGCTTCCTGTTCTTCCAGCTTTTCCCTTTCTTGCCCTCATGGCGCAGGTCATGTCTGCTGGCTCAGGGAGCTTACCTCCATACCTTTTTTCACAGGCCTGTCGTCTGACCTCGTGGGGCCTGGGAGGCCTACATTTGGAACATGTGCCCTATGGTTGTTAAGGATAGTTAACCTAAGAGATTGAGATGGACACCCCTAAAAAGAGATACAGAATTAAGGTTTTACCTAATCTTTGTATTTGCATTACAGCAGGACCCCTAAAGTTTGAGCTGAAAGGACCAAGTTTGGGGGGTGGGGAGGAGGTTCAGATATCAGCCAGTGGTGGGAGAGGCTCTCGGGATACTCGTGGGCTGCTGTGCCTCTGTCATAGGCCTGCTATACTTGTTCTGTGCTTATAAACTGTGTCATGCTCTCCTCGTTTCCTACAGAGACCGCTACGTCTCCTAGGTAAGAAAAACATTTCACTAAGGTGGGCAAGGTGACGTGTAGGTTCAGAATCACAGAATGTCAGAGCTATAAGGAACCTACCTGAACCCTTTCATTTGATAAATACAGTTGACCCTCGAACGACACGGGGAAGTGAGCCTGCCTGGTTCAAACTCATGTTGTTCAAGGGTCAGCTGTTTAGATCCGAGGTTGGGAATCTGTGGATGTGGAGGGCTGAGCCTAGTTAAGTTTTTATGGAGTTAAAGATCTACACAGATTTTCGGCTGTGTAGGAGTCGGTGCCCTTAACCCTCGAGTTGTTCAAGGGTCAACTGTCGTGTCCTTATCGCTTCCTTTCTCTGCATTTTATACTCTTAGCATGTTTTGACACCAGCGGCATTGTCGTCCGTTTCCTCAGTTCCAGATAAGCTGGTATATCTTAGAAAAAATTGAGTTTTAAGAATAAAAAAAATTCTTTCCTTTTTTTTTTTTAGATCCTATCTAAACTTCCTTTGCCTGCTCGTGGATGGGAACCAGCAATGAAGCAGAGTTTTGCCTTCGACAACGTTGGCTACGAAGGTGGTCTGGATGGCACGTGTCCTTCGCAGGCGACCACTGGCACCATCAGCATTTTGGGCATGACGTGCCAGTCATGCGTGAGGTCCATCGAGGGCAGGCTTTCAAGTCTGAAAGGCATCGTGAGCATCAAGGTTTCCCTGGAACAAGGCAGCGCAACCGTGAGATATGTGCCGTCGGTCCTGAGCCTGCCACAGGTGTGCTATCAAATTGAGGACATGGGCTTCGAAGCCAGCATCACAGAAGGAAAGGCTGCCTCCTGGCCTTCAAGGTCCTCACCTGTCCCGGAGGCCGTGGTCAAACTCCGAGTGGAGGGCATGACCTGCCAGTCTTGCGTCAGCTCCATAGAAGGCAAGATTAGGAAACTGCAAGGAGTGGTGAGAGTCAGAGTCTCCCTCAGCAACCAAGAGGCAGTCATCACTTATCAGCCGTATCTTATTCAACCCCAAGACCTCAGGGACCATGTAAACGACATGGGGTTTGAAGCTGTTATCAAGAACAAAGTGGCTCCTGTCAGCCTGGGACCGATAGATATTGGGCGGTTACAGGGCACCAACCCAAAGACACCTTCAACTTGTGCTAACCAGAATGCCAATAACTCTCAGACTGTGATGCACCAAGAGAGCCATGTGGTCACCCTGCAACTGAGAGTAGATGGGATGCACTGCAAGTCTTGTGTTCGGAATATTGAAGAAAATATCGGCCAACTTTCAGGGGTTCAAAATATTCAAGTGTCCTTGGAGGAGAGAACCGCCCAAGTTCAGTATGACCTTTCTCGTGTCTCCCCAGGGGCTCTGCAGAGGGCCATTGAGGCTCTTCCACCAGGGAATTTTAAAGTTTCCCTTCCTGACAGGGCAGAAGGAAGTGGGACAGATAACAGGTCTTCCACATGTCACTCCCCCACCCCTGCCCAGGAGACCCAGGGGCAAGGCGCCTGCTGTACCATGGTGCTTGCCATTGCTGGCATGACCTGTGCATCCTGTGTCCAGTCCATCGAAGGCCTGATCTCCCAAAGGGAAGGAGTGCAGCGAATATCAGTCTCTCTGGCCGAAGGGACTGGAACGATTCTCTATGATCCCTCTATAATTAACCCAGAAGAACTCCAAGCTGCTCTAGAAGATATGGGATTTGAGGCTTCGGTCGTTTCTGGTACGTTGTTGATACGTTCGATGAGCTCCCTGGAGTTGTCTCCTTTCTCTTAGTGTCTTACGGCATAGTACCTGCGTGCTTGGGCAGGTGAGCCACACCTGCTGCCTCACTTGTTGACCTTGGTAACAGGATTCTGCAACTTTCCCCCATGTGTTATGTTTGTCAGGTAGAGGAAATAGAATTTCTAACTGTTTAGATTTTGCCTTTCATGTAGCTGGGACTGAATTGCTAAGGTCCTTGGATTCTTGGCTTCTTTCTAAAGAGAACTCTGATTCTGTGTGAGTGTGTGTGTGTTTTAAAAGAGTGTCCTAGGAACATCAGGCCCTTCTCTGTCCAAAGGAACCATCATCACTTTCTCTGAAGATTTCTCTGCTAAATGAAATAAAATCATAAAACAGCGGAACCTTAGTCTCACTGCCCAGAACCCATTCTCTTGAGAGTGGGAAGTAAGTAAAGGATTTTAATGATGATTTCCTTTGCCACCCCACCCCC